GTGTGTATGTATATATATATATATTTAAGGGAAAGAGTTTATTGGGGGAAACTCAACAGAATAGAGGGAAGGGGCAAAGAAGGAAAAGACAGAGAAGAGAGAGAGACAGAGTTTAGGAGATGGAGAGGGAGAGAGAGAGCGAGCAAGCGAGCGTGTTTAATATATTTTAAATGAAGATATAGACCACCTTAATGTATTTGTTTGATTTAATCATTTAGAGAACTTTAAATGCTAGAGTACTCCAAAAATTCCAGGAAAATAATGAAATTAAAAGGTATTTTGGTTCAAAAAAATTTGGAATGCATACATAATTGTCTCATTATACACATTTTACATGAACATTTGGAGACTGCTCAGATGCATAGATTTCAAGACTTCTTGTGCCAAAATAACTTGTTAATTTCATGTTCAGTTATGATATTTTTATATAAAAATTGGAGTATTTATCCTTGCTAAGGTCATCAAAGAGATTGAAAGAACTAAATGGGGGCCCAGCATTGTATCTCAGCAGGCAAAGTCACCACCTGTGATGCCAACATCCCATATGGGTACTGGATCAAGTACTGGCTGCCCTACTTCCAATCCAGCTCCCTTCTAATGGTCTGGGAAAAGCAATGGAAGATGGCCCAAGTGTTTGGCCCAAACCCTGCCATCCATGTGGGAAACCCAGAAGAAGCTCCTGGCTTTTGGCTTCTGCCTGACCCAGCCCCAGCTGTTGTGGCCATCTGGGAAATGAACCAGTGGGTGGAAGATCTCTCTATATATAACTCTTTCAAATAAATAAATACAACTTTTACAAAAATGGAGGGTGGTGGGAGGAATGAAAAAAAATGCATACATTACAAATTTTTTGTACCCAAATAGGTGTATTTTTTTAATTCTATTTTGCCCAAATTTCTTGAAGTCCCATTATATAACTAAATGAATGCTTTTTAAAAACAGTAAAATTGCTAAGAAATTAAAATTTCTTGCATGAACATTATTTACCAGTTTGACTTTTTCCAAAGACATTAGATCTAATATTTAGTATCACAATATAAATTTTATTTACCCTTTGGTTACTTTAAAACTATTTTTCAGTCACTTGGCCAATAGTTTTCTTTCAGCTGGCAAAAATGTACCTGTAAGCTATAGAACCAGCCAATTATAGGACTGATGCCATCATGATTTATCTCAGTTATTTGGCAAAAAATGTCTAGGAATTCTGACCACATGAGGAAAAACAACTATGCTGTGACTGCAACAGTTTAGTTGAACCAAGTAGAGTTTACATAAGTGAATTGAAATTCATATGGATTAATCAATCAAAATGGTGATGTTTGAAGCTTAAACTTATTTCAAAATGCAAAAAAAAAATCAAGCAAATGACAAACTTTTGGCCTTTGAACAATTCACATGTCAATGCATGCCCTTTCTTCTGTGATGCTAATGCCTATAACTGACCATCAGTGACTATATCCCTACACTCATCTGAAATAAGGATTCCTAACCTGTAGTCTTTTGACTTCAGGTATTCAATTTCCATTTTGAAAATGCATGATTACATTGTTCTGGGAAGAAGTTTCATAACTTCCATCATACTCAGAAGCATCCAAGATCCCCAAAAAAAGCTTAAAATCTTCGTGAGAACTACACACAAAGTAAATCTTTACTATATATGTCCTTTGGCCTATTACTCATACACTCCTCAACTCATACAACATGAGTTCTGCACACTTCAGCAATCTCAACGTCTCCTGATTTCCTTTATCCAGATAATTCAATATTTTTTATGAAATGGGATGTCCAAAATTGGCTACTTTTATAGTAAATTATATAGACTTAACTAAGCTAAAACCCTCTTTCCAGAAACTATGTTAATATAGACTAATATGAATGCACATGACTTATGTTACTTGTGAAACACCTCACAGCCTTGTGTGTGTCTTTGGGTGCACAAGCATGTACACATACATCTGTGTATATTTGCACACACACACACATACACCGCTGAGAGTTCTAGTTCTGACAGATTAGTGACAGCTATGAGATCTAGGGATTCCTCTGTACCATTCTTCTTCTAAAACTATTTTAAAAAATACTTATACCACATTTTAAATAAATAGATCTCATGCTTTGATATTTTTAATATCATTATTATATTTAAAAAATAGGAATACAGATGCTTGCCCAGTTTATTATTTGAGACAATTATAATCTAGCCCCATGCCTTCTTCTATTGGCTGTTTCTTTACCATTCACTTTTTTTTTTTTTCTTTGACAGGCAGAGTGGACAGTGAGAGAGAGAGAAAGGTCTTCCTTTGCCGTTGGTTCACCCTCCAATGGCCGCCGCGCTGCAGCCAGCGCACTGCACTGATCCGAAGGCAGGAGCCAGGTGCTTCTCCTGGTCTCCAATGCGGGTGCAGGGCCCAAGCACTTTGGCCATCCTCCACTGCACTCCTGGGCCACAGAAGAGAGCTGGCCTGGAAGAGGGGCAACTGGGAAAGAATCCGGCACCCAGACCAGGACTAGAACCCGGTGTGCCGGCGCCGCTAGGTGGAGGATTAGCTTATTGAGCCACGGCGCCGGCCACCATTCACTTTGATAGCCCTTCTAAAGTAACCTTCCTCTCCAAAGGAATCTTAAGCTTGATACCAAGACTTCCTTTCCTCATAAACCAACAGAGTTGGCTTGTTTCAAGCTGTGTTTGCAGTGTAGAATGAGATTAAAACACTTTATGTACATGCATCTTTCTGTGCATTTCATTGATTTTGGAGAACCCAGGTTGAATTAGGTATGAAATTCTCAAAATAAATGTTCTATGAAAAGGAAATATCCGGCCGGCGCCGTGGCTCAATAGGCTAATCCTCCGCCTTGCGGCGCTGGCATAGCGGGTTCTAGTCCCGGTCGGGGTGCTGGATTCTTTCCCGGTTGCCCCTCTTCCAGGCCAGCTCTCTGCTGTGGCCCAGGAGTGCAGTGGAGGATGGCCCAGGTCCTTGGGCCCTGCACCCGCATGGGAGACAAGGAGAAGCACCTGGCTCCTGCCTTCGGATCAGCGCGGTGCGCCGGCCGCAGTGTGGCGGCCATTGGAGGGTGAACCAATGGCAAAGGAAGACCTTTCTCTCTGTCTCTCTCTCTCTCACTGTCCACTCTGCCTGTCAAAAAATAAAAAAAAAAAAAAAGGAAATATCCAACAGTGTGTTTCATGATGCTTATATAAGGCAAATGCTGGTTTCATTTTATAGAGGCAACAAATGATATTTAAACAACATGGATCATATTAGTGGGTTTGTTTATTTTACATAATTTTTAAATGTCTATTTTATGTCTCAACTATAGATCTAAGTATGAGTAAACTATCTATTAAATAATACTTAATTGACATTCTTTGTCTTTAAATTATTTCAATTAAAATTAAACACTGGAAATTGTTTTGGAATATTGTTATTCTTTTAAACTAAGGAAGTTTAGAAACAGACCTGACTTCACTTTTGCCAAGCATATTAATTATACAGTCAACTCTCGATTATTCAAACTAATGGAGGAAAGAATGGAACACGCACTAATATTTCTCTGATTCTCCCTCATTGAGCCTCATTTCAAACCAATTTTTTTAGCTTTCTGTCTTGATTAGATTACATGTTCTAATCCTTGTTTCCAGAATTTGATCTAAAATATTACTTACAATTGACAAGAAAGTTTCATGTTAACACACTCTGCTTTTTAAGTACATTCTTAAAACCTGTGCCCTAGCATTACTTTTGTTCTTTTAAAATTTGCATGAAATTATAACAACATTGGGTACTATCCTGATGGCTCATAGAAGTACTTTTACATAAAAAGCCTTACCTTTGAATTATAATTTACACATAATTATAAGTTTCCAAAACATTACATCATGGTACCAAATTGCTTTTAAAATATTTTAATATAAAAATTTTATGAGAAAGTTTTTATCTCTAAGAGCCTTTTATAGAAATTCTTCCAACTTTTAAAATTCTTAATATGCACAATATTTCTAAGTACTATGTAAGTGTTTGTAAAGTGAAGAAATGCTGAAGGAATTTATGTGTGAAAACACTGTGTTGCGTGTATATAATATATCATTTTCTCTACCAATTAACTACATACAGTGTGCTAGTATCCAGACATAAGCGTCCATGGAAATGCATGTATCTGGATAGCTGCAGGTTGAAATAAACACACATGCCTTTTATTTCAATAACTGCACATTCAAATCCACCTAAGACATTTATTTGAATGTGACCTCCTTAGACACGAGAGAACACTGGTTTTAGCATTTGATTTTTTTTTCATGTTTTGTTGTTGTTGATTTAAATAGGTACAAATGTGAATAATGCTTCTCTGGAAATCTTTGCATGCAGAGAAAAGGAAATTCAAAGATAAAATCCTATAAAAAAAACACTGAAACTGTTTTGTCTTATTATGTTTTGCCTTCATATGTACTGTAACTAGATTCTTAAAGAATATCACTAAAGCCAAAGTAATACAACCATAAACTGGCCTGGAACTGGACCTACCTTAAGTTAAATAATTTTCTTTCCAGAATAAAACTATTACTTGTTATTTTTTCCCCCAAGAAGCCATTTCCTTTAAAAGCGTGCTACATATGTATTTGAACTTTAAAAATCATGTTTTTTATTAGGCAGGAGGAAAGTTTGTTATGAGGCTATTTTAAAGTCTATATTATAGTTTCTTCCCTCCCATCCCTATTATGCCATATTTCTGTAGAGTTAGTTTTACCTGACATGAGCCAGAAAATTAAATTAGGATTTCTTTAAGAGTCTTGGCTTTGAATTTCCTATTTTTCATTGCATGTAAACTGTCAACTACAAATAATACTTTTAGTTCAAGTTCTAGCTTGTATTTTGCATGATAAAGCTATAAAAAGTCTATTAATGCTGGAAAGAATTTATAGCTGCTGCTCTGCTATTGCCTAATTGTTAAAATTTATAAATAAAGACTGATTTTATTTATGTAGACTTGTCTTTCTGCCTTAGGGAGTAAACTACTTTATGTCAAAGGGTATCCTAGATGATTCACCAAAGGAAATAGCAAAGTTTATCTTCTGTACAAGAACTTTAAATTGGAAAAAGCTGAGAATCTATCTTGATGAAAGGTAAAAGATTTTTTAAGTTTTCACCAGTAATAAATTATGTAATACTTTTGATTAATTAAATTTTACTTTAAAAGCTATACTACATAGCAAACATTTAGTTGAAAAATTGATTAAAAGGCAGGGAGAAGATTATTGTCCCTTATACCTTTGTGTGTTCGCTTTAACTTGCTGAAAAGGAAGATGCCAGTGTAAAAGTAAAAAGAAAAAAAAAGTTCTCATGTGCATACAAAATGGTAGCCCAATATCTTTGTAATAGCAAACAAAAATCAAATATTTTTGAGACACTTGGCAGCCCTAGTAAGACAAATTGTACTTATAAGTCCCACAGACCCTAGGGATATAAAATATGAATATATCTGCAGATAGATACCATACAGAAATGTCACGTACAAGTTTAGGAATTCCGAAAATGTGACATTTGGTAATGTATGTTACACAAATAGAGATGATGACTACATGCTGTTCTGATAGAGACTTCTCAGGATTTTTCAACAACAGTCTGCAAATGTTCATTATATTCTTCCAGAAACTTTACCAGAGAGGAGAGATATGTAGATAAATAAGATATAATCTCTATCTTTGAGAAGTTTACAGTCCAGCAAACTAGTCATTGAAGAAATCTCTTACATAATAAAGTTATCATTAACTGTTTTTGTCTTTATTCCAGTTACCCAGAAATTGTCCTTTTTCTGTAAAGAACCAGATCTTTCTTTCTTAGGCTTTGCCAGCTCTGTAATCATTGCAGCTACTCATAACTCCACCACTGTGTTGTGAAAGCAAACAGACTAGATGTAAACAAATTAGTGTGGCTATTTCAAAAAAGACAGCGGGCCAAATTTGTCCTACCATAAGCAATTGGTAGACAATATTATAATCATTTAATAGTGATTGAATTCAATAAGAATTGAAGATTATTGTATCAAAGTGTGACTATAGAGTAGAATGCTATTTTTAAAATGATATGGACACGAACTTACATTTAAAAATATTTATGTGATTTTAAGTAATATAAACATATATATCGATGTACTTGCTATATCCATAAGATGGAATACTGTGAGGCCATTAAGAAGAATGAGGTGCATCTGTGTGAAATAATATGGAAAGCTGTTCACAATATACTATGTGAAAAAAGCAGATTTAAAAGAATATGTAGTATATATAGATACTTTAAAAAGTTCACATAAATAATTATTACCTCTGGAGATGTGGATTGGTGTGCTAGATAGAGATTCTCATTATTTTCATGATTATTTTAGTGTCATTTGGATTTAGCCAGGAAAATACCTGAAAATAAACTATCCCTTGTAAAACTGCAAGTGCTTTTTTCCTTTTTTTATAAGTACAATTGTTTTTATCTTTTTTGTTTTGTTGTAAGCTATTTTTGAAAAATTTCAAAATTGCTAAGCTTCTTAAGTAATGATAATTAAGATTTTTAAAAAGTAATTAACTATTGAAAATGAATTTTGATATGAATGGAATGGGAGACGGAGCAGGAGATGGGAAGGTTGCAGGTGGGAAGGAAATTATGGGGAGGAAAAGCCACTGTAATCCAAAAGCTGTACTTTGGAAATTTACATTTATTAAATAAAAGTTTAAAAAGTAATTAACCATACTTTTATAGGATTAGTTTATATGGTAATTAGTAATATAGTGTTTTATCCAAAAAATGGCCATTAATGATTTTACCTTTTTTAACAGAGAGAAGTTAACTAAAGCTGCATCTTTTTGTATTTCTACAGGAGAGATGTCTTGGACGACCTTGTAACACTGCATAATTTTAGAAATCAGTTCTTGCCAAATGCACTGAGAGAATTTTTTCGTCATATCCATGCCCCTGAAGAGCGTGGAGAGTATCTTGAAACTCTTATAACAAAGTTCTCACATAGGTTCTGTGCTTGTAACCCTGATTTAATGCGAGAACTTGGCCTTAGTCCTGGTAAGAAAATATACAGAGTATGATCCTTGGTCCACCTCATCCTCCACCCACCTCTAAGTAAAAACAGTAATATTTAAGGCATTTTTCTCAAATGTAGGGAAAAATGTTTTAATTTTAAGTATTTGAAATATTTTTAAAATGTTAGCTTGTCATAGCTACTGCTATGAGTAAACTCACTATGTTAGAAAGAAAGTTGGACTTAGCTACATAAAATCTTTAAGAGTATTTATGTTTAAGCATTGGATATTTTTACTAGTCAACTTGAAAATTCGGATGTTATAAAAGCTCTAATAATTCACATAGTGCATAGCACCATTTCATACTAGAATATGTTTATATCTAGATTCTCTTTATCTATTTATTTTGAAAGTTGGAGTTACGGAGAGAGAGGGAGAGAAAAATAGACTTTCCATTCGCTGTTTCATTCCCCTAATGCCTATAATCACCAGAGCTGGGCCAAACCAAGGCCAGAAGCCAGGAGCTTCATCCAGGTCTACCACATGAGTGGCAGGGGCTAAGCACTTGGGCCATCTTCTGCTGCTTTCCCAGACCATTATCAAGGAACTAAATCAGAAAAGTAGCAGCAAAGACACAAACCAGTGTCCATGTGGGATGCCAGCATCACAAGTGGTGGCTATACCCATTACGCCACAACACCAGCCCTGTTTTATTTATTTTTAAAAATTTTTTTATTATTTGTTTATTTGAAAGGCATAAAGACAAACAGGCAGGTAGAGAGAGATCTTCCATCTAATTTCACTCCCGAAAAGCCTGAAACAACCAGGATTATAAGCTGTGTGGGGACACAACCCCAGACATTCTCATGTGAAATGTAGGTGTCCTAAGGACACCCCTGCCCCAATGGCTGCCCCTAAATATGTTTTTAAAAAAATCTGTTTATTCATTTGAAAGTCAGAGTTACAGAGAGATGGAGAGATGCAGAGAGATCCAGCTTCCATCCACTCCTTCACTCCTCAGATGGCAGCAAGGGTCAACACTGGGCCTAGTCAAAGTCAGAAAGCAGAAGCTTCATCCAGGTCTTCTGCATTGATGGCAGGGACTCAAACACTTGGTCTGTCTTTGCCTGCTTTTCCTAGGCCATTAGCAGGGAACTGAATTGAAAGTGGAATAGCCAGGACACAAACAAGTGTGGGCTGCTGGTATCGTAGGCAGCAGCTTTACCTGCTACACCACAACATTGGCCCCTAAAATATGTTTTTTATATAATTAGTTTTCTTTTTTTAAGATTTATTTATTTATTTGAAAGTCAGAGTTAAACACAGAGAGAAGGAGAGGCAGAGAGAGGTCTCCCATGCGCTGGTTTACTCCACAGATGGCCTCAACGGCCAGAGCTGCGCTGATCTGAACCCAGGAGCCAGGAACTTCCTCTGGGTCTCCCACACAGGTGCAGGGGCCCAAGGACTTGGGCCATCTTCCACTGCTTTCTCAGGCCATAGAAGAGAGCTGGATCAGAAGAGGAGCAGCCGGGACTCGAACTGGCGCCCATATGGGATGTCGGCACTTCAGGCCAGGGCATTAACCCACTGCGCCACAGCGCCAACCCCAATATAACTAGTTTTCATTGTTTGTATGTGCATACTGTACAAGGGTTGTTCAAAAAGTTAATAGTATGGCTAAAGCTATGCATGGATTTCAAAATTTTACACCAAAATACTTTTCTTTTAATTCTATTTCCATGAAATTTTAGAAGTACCCTTGAGTATGTATGTGCGTGATATAGCCTGTCTCCTAGATAGTTTTTATTTAATATACTCAATTCTTCATATGAAAAATTTTATTGTGCTTATCTGATTAAGCAGATATTACAAAATATTCACCAATCATGAAGCTTGTTGAACATTCTTTACAAGATGTAATGCTTAACTTAGCTTTCTTAAGACTGCACTATTCTCAGGGCCAGTGCTGTGGCATAGTGGGTAAAGCCGCCACCTGCAGTGCCACCATCCCATAGGGACACCAGTTCAAGAGTTGGCTGCTCCACTTCCGATCCAGCTCTCTGCTATGGTCTGGAAAAGCAATGGAAGGTAGCCCAAGATGGCACAGCTGTGGCCATTGCGGCCAATTGGGGAGTGAACCAGTGGATGGAAGTCCTGTCTCTCTTTCTCTCTCTGCTTCTCCTTCTCTCTGTGTGTAACTCTGAATTTCAAATAAATAAATAAATCTTTAAAAAAGAAAAAGAAATTAATATGTAAAATTTCAGAGTCCTTTAAAATATGTTATATGACAATATTAATTTAATGATGTTAGAGTGTTTATATTTTATTTTCTAGTACCAAGATACCACATTTTCTTGCCATTAAAAATGCTTTCAGGGGCCGGCGCTGTGGTGCAGCAGGTTAACGCCCTGGCCTGAAGTGCCAGCATCCCATATGGGTGCCGGTTCAAGACCTGGCTGCTCCACTTTCTCTCCAGTTCTCTCCTATGGCCTGGGAAAGCAATAGAAGATGGCCCAAGTCCTTGGGCCCCTGCACCCATGTAGGAGACCCCAAGGAGGCTCCTGGCTCCTGGCTTCAGATCGGCACAGCTCCAGCCGTTGCGGCCTATTGGGGAGTGAACCATCAGATGGAAGACCTCCCTCTCTCTCCCTGTCTCTCTCTCTCTCTCTCTCTCTCTCTTTCTCTCTTTCTCCCTTTTTCTCTCTCTCCTCTCTCTGTGTAACTCTTTCAAGTAAAATAAATAAATCTTTAAAAAATACTTTCAAATTAAACTAGGTTTTTGTAAAAAGCATTTAATGTAAATACATATGTTTCTTTTCTTTTTGAATGGAGAGACAAATATGTTGACTGTACAAATTTACTTTTTGGATATTGAATTTGTAACAAATTTGAAAATGAAGCCAATTCTCACATTTTTAAATCTAGAATGACTTTTAACTATAAACCCCTAAACTATTGTGAAGTTCTTTCAAATTAAAATGTTCACTGAATTGGTGATTAGTTAAGGTATTGATAGTTGCAGGTTGTCCTGAACTGAATAGTTTCCCAGGACACAGGACTTTCAATGCTAAATTGGGAAAAGCCCAGGCAAGCTGGAATGATTGGTCACATTTTATTTATCTATGGTAATCTTGATCTCTTGGAATTAAGAATATTTTTTCCCTATGCCTTTGGAATGATAATTTTTAAAATTAGTTAATAATTTAGAGTGTTTTTTTTTTCTTTCCAGATGCTGTCTATGTACTCTGCTACTCTTTGATTCTACTTTCCATTGACCTCACTAGCCCTCATGTGAAGAATAAAATGTCAAAAAGAGAATTTATTCGAAATACCCGCCGTGCTGCTCAAAACATTAGTGAGGATTTTGTAGGGCACCTTTATGACAATATCTACCTTATTGGCCATGTGGCTGCATAAAAGCACAATTGCTAGGACTTCTACTTTTTACTTCAGACTAAAGCTAACCAATGACTCATTTAGTCAATATGGGGGTCACATCAGTGCTGGTCATTCTAGCCACTCTATACAATCAAACTTGATTGTACAACATTTTTTTTTCTTTCACTATTTTCTTTTATAGTAATTTTCTTGGGGAACTAAATAATTTTGCTGAATTTTCCTTAATTTTGCTTATCATGTTTTGCACAAAGCAGAGCCATTGTCTGACACAGCTGTTAAAGATTGTTAAACTGACATATATTACTCTGAAAGGTGGTGTTTTTGTGTATTAGATTTGCCTGAAAAATGTTATTCATTTCCCTTCTTTTTTAAAATTAATGTTATGTGTATATATTTAACTAAAGAGATTTATAATCATAATTATTTTATTGTAAAGATTTTGACTAAAGTTTTTCCTTTTCTCTCAAACTGCGTTCTGAAATTTATTTGAGTTTGATCTGAAATTATTTCTGTCTTTCATAAAAGTTGGATTTGACTTCAGATAAAAACCAATACTAACTTTCTGTTCCTCTGAACTTTGAAAGCAGAATGTTGATTTGTTACCACATTATTTGCAAAACTGGCAGTTATTTTTATAATATAAATTTATCAACTGATTTTTTCCATTTTTAATAAGTCCTTTAAACTATTTAAAATAAGAAAAAGTGTCAAAATTTATGATTTAACTTTAGAAAAACAGAATAAAATGTTATCAGAAGTTTGGTAAATCTTTGCTTGTTTATATATGAATTAATTAGTAAAATGACTATTTCTCTAATACCAACCTCTGTTCAGGATCCACTAATGAAGAAATATTGTGAATGACAGTAAACTCTCTTCATTCATTCAGTAGATATTTATCAAGATATTTCCACTTATGAACTGTGTTAGGTACTAGTGCATGAATGAGTAATCAGAAGAAAAATACTACTTAATGGAAAACAAATGTATGAAGTATATTTTAATTAACAATTATTTAATAATTAAAATACACAGCATTGGGTGATAGAACAGTGTTTTTATATGGTGAGTTAAGAGTTAGCCTGAGTAAAAAGCATGAGCTTTGGAATGATACACAATGTATGCTGAGTGTAACTGATGGTTTACCAGTTAGTTGGTGAAGCGGAAGTTCCTGACTAGAGGTATGGAATCCTGGCTTCCTTTCAGATCCAGCTCTTAAGTCCAATAGTGGTTGTCAGTATTACAACTGGAATAGTATACTACAGATTTTTCTTCAAGGACAAAGCACAGATAATCAAACTTTTGAATACCAAGAGTACTTTTAGATTGATAATAAACAGCTTCTCAGATTCTGAAGCAAATATCTAAATTATTTTCTCATGTGTATAACCCTGAATTCTGTGACAAAATATTTTTAATTTTTAACTTTGAAACTATTAAGTTTAAAAAACAAAAGGTGGGGGCCAGTGCTGTTGTGTAGTGGGTAAAGCCACCGCCTGCAGTGCCAGCATCCCATATGGGCTCCAATTCAAGTCCTGGATGTTCCACTTCTGATCCAGCTCTCTGCTATGGCCTTGGGAAAGCAGTAGAAGGTAGCTCAAATCCTTGGACCCCTGCACCTGCGTGGGAGACCCGGAAGAAGCTCCTGGCTCCTGGCTTCAGATCAGCACAGCTCCTGCCGTTACAGCCATTATGGGAATGAACCAGAGGATGGAAGACCTATCTGTCTCTGCCTCTGCCTCTCTGTAACTCTGCCTTTCAAATAAGAAAATAAATCTTTAAAAAAAAGAAAGTAGTGATAACATGTTAGTAAGGTTCCCATTTTCCAGTGAGTGATACCTTGTGCTATCTTCATCACTTCTTTTCTATACTTTTTTTTGTGTATTTTTAAGATTTATTATTTGAGAAAAAGAGAGATCTTCCATCTGTTAGTTCTCACCCCCAAAATAGCCATAAAAACTAGGTCTGGGCCAAGCTGAAGCCAGAAGCCAGGAACTCCATCCTCATCTCTCACATGGGTAGCAGGGGCCCAAAATTCTTGGGCCATCTTCCACTGCCTTCCCAGGTGCATTAGCAGGAAAGCTGGGTGGGAAGTAGAGTAGTCATGACTTGAACCAGACCATGGATATGGGATACTGGCATTGCAAATTCTGGCTTTAATCCTGTGACCACAAGACTGGCCCTCTATTCTTAGTATCCATTTCTCTCTACTTCTGTTTTCCTTTCTCTCGCTCTCACTCTCTCACTTATGTACACACATCTCCATTTCTCAATTTTATTTCCTTTTTCCTGATTTATTTTTCCACCCTGATTGTATATATGAACTTGGGGTAAGTGTAGATTGGCAATATTTTTCTGCCAACATTTTCTTGTGGAAAATGTCAAACATACAGAAAAGCTGAAATACTTTACAGAGAATGCCTATACCCATACCTAGATTACCCAATTAAAATTGTACTGTCTTTACTCACCACATATTTATCTGTACCTCTATCAGTCAACCCTCTTACTGGCTTGATACAGGTGAAAATAAGTTCCAGACATCAGCACACTTCAATCCTGAAGACTTAAACTACATATCATTAGCTGAAGGCCACTTATTTTTTTATTTGAGGTAAAATTTGCCTCTGTGCATAAATAATCTTGGATTTACTAACCACTTCACTAAGTCTTAAAAAAATCTATGCACTCTACAAACTATACCCCTACAAAAATATTTACAGTTAATATTGTACCAGTTTACATAAAATATAAAAACCTTAAAACTATACAGACCGAAGTTCCCCATCCTCCCATCCATTATCTTACAGGTTTCACGTGTATTGCATATCATATATGTTGTAAACTCCACAATAAGATAAGAAAAAATATCTTTACTATTTACCCAGATTATCATTTCTTGTTACTCTTAGTCCTTCCTCAACCTCAAGTTTCCTTGTAGTATTCCTTGCAAAATGAAAAATTTTGGTTAGCATTTATTGCACTTCAGGCCCTAATGGATACTAGTGAATTACTATAGTTTTATTTTTTCTGAATATTTCTTGCTTTCCTTCTTGAACAATATTTTCCCTGAGAATATAATTCTGGACTGACAGGGCTTTTTCCCCTTTGGGTGCTTTAAGGATGTTACCCCAGTGTGTCTCAGTCTTGTTGAGAGTCAGTTATCAATTTGTTGTTCCTCTTGTATGAGTTCCATATCATCAAGTCAAGTCAAACATTTTGTTTTAGCCTCATTTTCTCTTTCCTTTTCTTCTGAAACTCCATTTACATACTAGATTTTTTTTATGTTTTCCTTAGATTCTTGAGGCTGTGTTAATTTTTTTTTCCAATCTTTTACTCCTTTTTTTTCTACAACTGGATTTTTTTTCTCTTGATCTATATTTGAGTTTGCTGACTTTTCTGTAATCATTCTTTGTTTTATACCACTTAGTGAACTGTTTTGTTTTCAATTATTGTAGTTCTAGAGAGTCCCTTTAGTTTTTGCAAGTTATATTTCTGTACCGAATTTTTTTCTTTTCAGTCATTATAAGCACATTTCCCTTACCTCCTTGAATACAGTTATAAAAGCTGCTCTCAACTGCTTGTCTGTCCGTTCTAGTATTCTGGATCAGCTTAGTGTCCATGTTCTGTGAATTTTTTTCTTCTTTCAGGATGAGTAAAATTTTTCTGTTTTTTTCAGACATTAAGTCATTTAGATTATGGACTGGGCATGGGGAATAAAATGTTACAGAAACCCGGAAATCTGATGGTTCTCCAAAGTTTGCATTAATTTTTTTTCCTCAAAAAAAGCGGTCAATTAATTTGGCTGAACTCCCAGCTGCCCATTCTGGCTCCCCTGTGGTTTGTGGCAGCTCAATCTCAATTTAGTGTAGTTCTTTAAACTGGCTTCATTGCATACATACATACTTGAGACATCAGCCAGAATTGGGGGCAGAATTCACATACAGAATTGAAGGTACTCTGGTTCTTTTCTTTGCCAAGATTTCCCTGGCATTATTAAGAAGCTGCCAAATTCTGTCCTTTGATTCTTCAAGACAATAAAAATACACTATCCAAACAACCCAGCCCTCATGCTAAGAGCCTATCTCTAAATAAGTGGGGAAACTCACCTAATATTATTCTCTGCTTCCAAGTGTTATCTCTCAGGATCAACCTTGCCTTTGGCTGCTCTCTTTCAAGTAGCTGATTTTTAAATTTTGTCAAAACTCCACACATTTATCTGTTGTAGGATTAAAATTTTAACATGTTCTATCAAAAACCTTAATAATTGGGGCCAGCACTGTGGTGTAGCCCTAAAGCCGCTTCCTGCAGTGCTGGCATCCCATATATGTGCCTGTTTGAGTCCTGGGTGCTCCACTTCCCATCCAGCTCTCTGCTATGGCCTGGGAAAGAGAAGATGGCCCAAGTCTTTGGGCCTCTGCACCCATGTGGGAGACCTGGAAGAAGCTCCTGGCTCCTGGCTTTGGATTCATGCTGTTCTGGCCGTTGAAGCCATCTGTGGAGTAAACCAGCGGATGGCAGGCCTCTCTCTGTTTTTCTCTGCCTCTGCCTCTGCCTCTGCCTCTGCCTCTGTCTAACTCTGCCTTTCAAATAAAAAAATAAATCTTTAAAAATAAAAACCTTAATAATGAAAATTTGTCTGGTGGAGGTCCTTTTTTTTTATTTTGAAGATTTTATTTATTTATTTGAGAGGTAGAGTTACAGACAGTGAGGGAGAGAGACAGAAAGATCTTCCAACTGCTGGTTCACTCCCCAGATGGCCGCAACAGCTGGAGCTGCGCTGATCTGAAGCCAGGAGCCAGGAACTTCTTCCGTATCTCCCATGTGGGTTCAGGGGCCCAAGCACTAGGGCCATCTTCTACTGCTTTCCCAGGCCATAGCAGAGAGCTGGCTCAGAAGAGGAGCAGCTGGGACTAGAACCGGTGCCCATTTGGGATGCCGGCGCCACAGGCAGAGGATTAAACTGAGCCACAGCGCCAGCAAGTAGAAGTCCTTCTGCCTTTGGCAAAGAATGTTCTTCATTATGGGCAACTGCTCCATGCAGTATAGGTCATAAATATGTCCGGATTTTGCCTGTTGGATTCTAGTAGCATCCCCAGTCATTGTGACATGCAAGTTATACTTCCAAGCTTTCAAGTCCCTCCTCAAGGAGCGAATCTTGTAAAGTTGAGAACCGTAGCATCTTTCAGATGTAATAGTTTGATCTTCCAAAAGCAAATCTGATGACATCTCATTGTCTAAAGGCTTCCAATTTTTCACTTTTTCCTACAATATTAAAGGTAGCCTCCTTAGGATAGCATATAAGACCTTTCACAGTTGGCTTCAGGTTACCCTTAAAGCTTTATCAGTCGCAGTCTTCACCAGTTGTCTAGTCTCTGCATTTCCCAAGCTTGCCTTTCTTCTCTGATACCCTTTTCTCTCCCGTTTCTTTTCTTTTCTTTTTTTTTTTTTTTTTTTTTTTTGACAGTTATATAGATAATGAGAGAGACAAAGAGAAAGGTCTTCCTTCCGTTGGTTCACTCCCCAAATGGCCGCTACGGCCCGCACTGCACCGCTCCGAAGCCAGGAGCCAGGTACTTCTTCCCGGTCTCCCATGTGGGTGTAGGGCCCCAAGCACTTGGGCCTTCCTCCACTGCCCTCCTGGGCCACAGCAGAGAGCTGGACTGGAAGAGGAGCAACCGGGACTAGAACCCAGTGCCTATATGGGATGCTGGTGCCACAGGTGGAGGATTAACCAAGTGAGCCATGGCGCCGGCCCTCTCTCCCCTATTTCTAACATTCCTCTACCCATTATCTAATATTTATCTCAAATGTAATTTATTAAAATTCTGAAGACTGTCTCTATTATGCATACCACTAGTGTTACTTGCTGCTTTTCTCTGTACTGTAGCACTTTGTATATATCTATATTATTATACCACAATTTTTCTAAGATTTATTTATTTGAAAGGCAGAGTTAGAGCTTCCATCTGCTGGTTCAGTCTGCAAATAGCCACAACAGCCGGATCTGGGCCAATCTGAAGCTAGGAGTTTCTTCCAGGTTTCACATGTGGGTGCAGGAGTCCAGGCACTTAGGCCATCCTCCAGTGCTTTCCAGGTGCATTAGCAGGGAGATGGATTGAAGTGGAGCTGCCCGGACTCAAACTGGTGCCCATATAGAATGCCAACTCTACAGACAGTGGCTTAACATGCTACGCCACAGTACCAGCCCCATACCGTAATTTTCTACATGCTCAACTTTTTCTTCAAATATATTACGGTTGAAGTTTGTTCTCTGCTTGTTAGGGTCTATTTTAAGGGCTGAATTAAGAAAATATAAAGAATTTAGGAAGAATGTTTAAAACCACAGAATTTGATAGGCGTTAGCTGTTTTAAGAACAATGTCTAATATTAGGGTCTGGCTGTCCTATTATCTAAGATAGTTACTAGGAAAAGCAACTGGTGGTATGAAATGGAATAAACCACATTCCCATTTGAACTTGAAAAAAAATTTTTTTTTAACAGGCAGAGTGGATGGTGTTAGAGAAAGAGACAGAGAGAAAGGTCTTTCTTTTGCCTTTGGTTCACCCTCCAATGGCCACCGCAGCCGGCGCGCTGCGACCAGCGCACCGCGCTGATCCGAAGGCAGGAGCCAGGTGCTACTTCCAGGTCTCCCATGTGGGTGCAGGACCCAAGCACTTGGGCCATCCTCCACTGCACTCCCGGGCCACAGCAGAGAGCTGGCCTGGAAGAGGGGCAACCGGGACAGAATCCGGCGCCCCGACCGGGACTAGAACCCAGTGTGCCAGCGCCGTAAGGTGGAGGATTAGCCTATTGAGCCAAGGCGCCAGGAACTTGAAAATTTTAATGGTAGAACTTTCAGGGTCCTGTGCTGTGGTGCAGCAGGTTAATCCTCTCCCTGCAGCGCCAGCATCCCATATGGGCACCAGTTCTAGTCCCGGCTGCTCCCCTTCTGAGCCAGCTCTCTGCTATGGCCTGGGAAAGCAGTGCAAGATGGCCCAAGCGGTTGGGCCCCTGCCCCGGCGTGGGAGACCCAGAAGAAACTTCTGGCTCCTGGCTTCAGAATGGCCCGACTCCAACCATAGCAGCCATTTGGGGATGAACCAGTGGATGGAAGACCTTTCTCTCTGTCTCTCCCCCTCACTGTCTGTAACTCTAACTCTCAAATAAATAAATAAAATCTTTTTTAAAAAATAGAATATTCTTACACTGCAACTAAAGAATAGAATTTTGAAGAATGAGAGCTAGATATATAGGTCTGGACCCTTAGTATTTAGAGTATGCTAGGTGAAGCATAGGAAAAGGTAACTCTTAGGGAATATGTGGAGTAAAGAGAAACTTGGAAACAGCATTTCAGGGTTTGGGAGAGGAAAAAATAAAAAAGAAAACTTTACAAGGACCAGAATCCAAAGAGCTGAGAAAGGAAAGTATCCAAAAGGATGTGAAGTTTACTTCTGTTGTAGCCCAAGTAGTTTTTTTTTTAACCATCTATGAAAGTACTTCAAACAGTTAATGGAAAAATGGAATTAAAAGATAAGTGTCTTGGTGCAAAAAAGTTTGAAATACATGGATAGTTTTTCCATTTTTTTGTTTTGTTTTTGTGAGTTTTTTGGTAATACACATTTTACATGAACTCTTTGAAGACCCTTTTATACTTAACCTTTTTGAATCTATCTTTTACACTTGGAGCTGAGTCTTTTTTCTTTATTATTTCTTTCATGCTATAAGACATTTTTTAAAAATTTATATACAGGGAAGGGGCTGAGTTCTTGGAGGCCAGAAGATCACAAAACTGTTAAAGGCTTTTATATTGTCACTAGAAAAATACTCCCTTACTCAAGGCGTAATCTGAGCTCTGCTGAAACCCACAACAGTGCTTATGTCCACTGCAGCTTGGACCTGTCCACACCTTCCTTCTTCAATAAGTGCTGTGCTGTGCTGTTTGGAGCCCAGAATATAACATGCCAAGTAGGTACTGTTGGTGAATCCTTACTATTCACAGGTACCAGAAATATTCTCTATCATGCAGGTTGTAATACAAAAGAGAGGGAGAGTAACTTAATGTATGCTAAACTGATCTTCTGTATATAAAGAGAATCGAAAATGAAAAAAAAAAAGAAAGCAGGAAAGAAAGGGAGGAAGAGAACAAAGAAGCAAGGGGATGGGGAGGAGAGGAGAGAAAGGGAGAAGAATGGAAAAAAATGCTTAAAAGCTAACAGGATTTTACTTGAGTGTTCTGTTAAAAGCAGCACTAATTTTTCTTTTTTCTCTTCTGCAGAACTGTTAATCCCTCCCCCATATTTGCTGATTGAAATACTATCTGCTCTTCAGAAGTTTCTCACAGCCTTTCCCCTCCAGGACAACTTTCTTAATTCTTGTAGGTGGGAATGTTGTTCATCTTATATCTCATTCAGTACCTTTTCCAGACAGTGCCCAGAACAGATTCTTGTTAAATCCAATTGAGTTACTTTGGCTCTGGCTCAGTTTCTATAAAGACATATAGAAAAATGGATTTACAATTTCCATTTTTAAAAAGAACATACAGGAATCATAGTCTCATGCTAGTTAGACACATAAGAGAAACTGTACTTTTAAATACATTCAGAACTTTCAGGTGTACATAACTTACAAATCAGAATATATTAACCTTTTAAAAATATTAATACTAGTTCAACTTATGTATTAAACCTACATTGGCCGGCGCCACAGCTCACTAGGCTAATCCTCTGCCTGCGGCACCAGCACCCGGGTTCTAGTCCCGGTTGGGGCGCCAGCTTCTGTCCCGCTTGCTCTTCTTCCAGTCCAGCTCTCTGCTGTGGCCCGGGAGTGCAGTGGAGGATGGCCCAGGTCCTTGGGCCCTGTGCCCGTATAGGAGACCTGGAGGAGGCTCCTGGCTCCTGGCTTCGGATCTCAATGCGGCCACTTTGGGGGGTGAACCAACAGAAAAAGGAAGACCTCTCTGTCTCTCTCTCACTGTCTAACTCTGCCTGTCAGAAAAAAAAAAAAAACACCCTACATGTACATTTTTCTTTTGGGGACTTCTACATTTAAATATCTGAATGTATATTGCTGCTTCAAGATTATATACTCTTAATAACTTCAAGAGTTTAAGTCATTGATCTTGTTGCTTCTCTTATTTGATCTTTGAAATTTTTGGAAATATGAATGTGGTGCTCAGTGAGGATAAAGCTTATATGAAAGTCTTAATATTTAAAATAATCTATTTTAATCGGACTCTGTTTTCCTGGGTCTAAAATGAACTTTCTCTTAAATTTCATTATTAATAACACAACTGCCTGCATTTTCTTTTCAAGCGTTCATACTATAATGCCCTCTGCTAGGAAATCGGTCTAAGGAAATAATCCAAAGTATGGGAAAGACAGCTGTGCACACCCTCAATCACACTGTTTTTAAAGAACAAGCAGATAGAAATACTTGGAATGCCCAAAACGTAAGACAGTCTTAAAAATAACTAACAAATACTTGAGTGTGTAACATGTCCCAGACCCTGTGGTAGGCACTAGTCAAAAGACCAAAGTACATCCTCAGGATGTATTATCATGAAGCCATGTTGTTTATTCATACAGGAAAATACTCATGATAACTACTAAAAAGACAACTGTACATGCATGCATATTGCTATATAAAACAGTGCAAAACCTACAAACAGAAGAAACTGGAATAGGGCGTACCAAAATGGTGCAGTGATTTTGTCTAATTTCCTCTTTAAAATATTAAGGATAATATAATTTAGAACAAAAATGCATCAAACTTCAGAAAATAAAGGTAAATAATGTTCCTAATTTCCCTTGTAATTTCCCCTCAGAATGTTTCCTTGTATTTTTATTCGAAATATGTTCTATTTTTAAAAAGACACTTGGTTGATCTCTTAAATTACATCTGGACAGATGTTTTGTTTTCACGCTTAGAAAAGTAGATTGTTTTATTTTATTTTTGTCTAACTGAATTAAAGACCAACAAGATCTCAAACCTTAGTGAGGAAATTTTCATTTGTTAGAAAGAAAAAAAAAAAAAAAGCTTTCTTCTTAGCATGGTTGGCCAGGAAGGTTGGATTTAATTTAAAATGATTAATGAGATTTTGTCAGGCTCCTTGACTTGACCACCACTGCAGTTTGTCAGTGCAACAACCTGGGAAGCCGGGACGCCGCGCTGTCGCCCAAATCCACTCTCCAGGGAAAAAATTAACTGGGAGGACTAGAGCCAGGTACACGTCAGTGGCATTGTCTCAATATTGACAGTTTAAAAGTCCAAATAAGAAATATAAATGTTTAGGGACACATCCCTAAGATAGTGTTTTCAGTTTCTTTGTAAGGAGTTAATCACTTTTAAAATATTGAAGTTGTTAACCTTTTCCAAAGGAAACTATTTGAAGACAAATCTTTACTAATGATCCTCCCTCCTCTAATTTGTTTGAAAAATTAAAATAAACAAAGAATTTAGGATCTCAGGTTACTTCTTTCTTTTTTAAAAGAACTAAAATGAAGTATTTTTAAAGAGTAATTTTTCACCCTTGAAAACTTTTCGACAAAAGCATGGCATAATTTTGTAAACAAATTTAAAACCTATTCAAAGTTAGCTAAAAACAATTTACTGAAAGTATCTGGTTATTAGGTGGTAAAAAGCCTTATTCTTGTTTATTTTTGCTTCATTATTGGTATTTGGTTGGACAAACTTATTGTATTTGGTACCTGTAATTAACTGAGTATTGAACAAATGTAGTTTTTATGCCAGTTACATATTGAGTACCAACTAATACCAAATATAGTATCAATTCCAACTTATCATAAAATTATACGTATCATTATTTGGATTTGTAAAAATTACCAGTACTAATGTTTAGCATCTTATTTAATTTATTTTGTTTTTGGCATCTTATTTTAAAATCTTTCCAAAGCAGTTCAGGCAAAAGGGATTTCTTAAATTATCACAGGGCAGGTTTTGAGTGTATGATAGATACCCTAAGACTACTTTTGTAAAAACTTCAAATCATGTGACTGACAATTTTTATCCACACAAAATGAACAGAATGCCTTCACGCTGAACAGTTTCAGTGTAGTTGTGTCTTCTAAGCTGCATGACTGTGTTCCCTGAGAAGACCCTCTTCACGGCCAGGCTACCAGTAGATAGATGCCTGAGTTACCTGCAGTAGGTAGTCTGAAAAACATCAAGAAAAGTGGAGCAGCATAGAAATGTTTACTAAGGCTGCTGTTCTTATTGGCAGACATTAACAGGAGCAAAATAAAGTAGTTATGTGTATATACCAGCACAATTGTCACCCATCATAATGGCCATCAAGTAAGTTTCTTCTAAAGCAAGTATTTCCAGCTCTAAAGGTGTTAGATAGTTTATTGCATTTGTAAAATCCTCAAAAATTATATACCCTATCTTGAAAGTGTGAATTTTAGTGTTACTGCAGTTTATGTACTACATTACATATTTCTCCCAAAAAAATAGGACTGCAAAATCTAATGGACATCTAATTCATTCACACAATCATGTTTACAAAGGAATTTAGAAACACTCATTTCCCTTTGGAGATTTTTATTATATATTATTATATATAATTTTATCCTTTCTTTAATCTTGCAACTGATAAACGAATACTATTTCCCATAATTCCATCTGAGAAAAGATTGTGGCCACAGTCAACATTAAACCAGAAAAGTAAGAAATTCTTGATTGAGATCAAACTTGTATTAGATTTAGTGAAGCCCAAAGCCCTCACAGGGTGCTATTATCACCATGATGGATTTGTATTGATTCTGGGTTTGGTTCTCAGGCTTAGAAATTGGGTTTTGTCAAAGCACCTCATGTATATGTGTTTTTTAAAGATATTTATTTGAGGCCGGCGCCGTGGCTCAATAGGCTAATCCTCCACCTTGCGGCGCCGGCACACCGGGTTCTAGTCCCGGTTGGGGTGCCGGATTCTGTCCCGGTTGCCCCTCTTCCAGGCCAGCTCTCTGCTATGGCCAGGGAGTGCAGTGGAGGATGGCCCAGGTGCTTGGGCCCTGCACCCCATGGGAGACCAGGAAAAGCACCTGGCTCCTGGCTCCTGCCATCGGATCAGCGCGGTGCGCCGGCTGCAGCGGCGGCCATTGGAGGGTGAACCAACGGCAAAAGGAAGACCTTTCTCTTTCTGTCTCTCTCTCTCACTGTCCACTCTGCCTGTCAAAAAAAAAAAAAAGATATTTATTTGAAAAGTAGAACGAAAGAGAGATACACAGATCTTTCAGACATTGGTTCAGTCCCCAAATGCCCAGGCTAAAGCTGGGGAACTCATCTAGGCTTCCAACATGGGTGGCAGGGACCCAAGTACATGGGCCGTTATCTGCTGCTGGGTGAAACATAGAATAGCCTAGGACTCCCAAGTGGAGGCTCAGCTTCCTGTGCCTTAATGTCTGCCCCATACATGTGTATTTCTCATGACCCTGATTTTAAATCCAGAACTGAAGAAAATGTTATTGATTGCTTACCAAATGCAATCAGTACCTTCTCTCTCTTTGCCAAGCTGTGGTAAGGTGATTGATGATCATGGAATCAGAGCAAGTTGTGTTCTTGAATCCATTTTAAAAAGTAATTTTTCATTTTTGAAAACTTTTAGACAAAAGTGCCAATAGTAAGGTAAAACAGCTTTTAGACAAAAACATGGCATAATTTTGTAAACAAATTTAAAACCTATTCAAAGTTAGCTAGACCAAATTAATGAAAATATCTAGTTATTAGGTGGTAAAATGCCTTATTTTTGTATATTTTTGCTTCAGTATTGGTATTTGGTTGTATGAACTTATTGTATTTGGTACCTGTGATAAACTGAGTATTAAACAAATGTAGTTACACCAGTTACATACCAAATATAGTGTCTATTCCAATTTATCATAAAATTATACGTATCATTATTTGGATTTGTAAAAATTACCAGTACCAATGTTTAGCATCTTATTTATTTTGTGGGTTTTTTGGCATTGTAGAGTTTATTGTCTAACCCATGACACTTCTGAGAGTGCTAAAATGATAAACCAGATGGTACTTCAAGACAACAGATATAAACTACATCCGGATATATGGTCAACCTAGCCATGACTATCGTACAATGTGATAATGTAATAACAGAAGTTTAACGGTGCAGTGAAAACATGTTGAATGTAATGCACTGAAGTGTGAAATTTTGTTTCTTATCTAAAGCATTTCTAAATTTAATTTCCAATTGGTATCCATTCTGTTAGGCTGGGCAACTTTATATCATACCACACAGTCCTCTTCTAGCATCTTAGCATCTACGAGATTCCTGTAAAGGATCTCATTTTGCAGTTTGTTCAACCATAAGGAACTGAGTATCAGAAATCTCTAAAAAAAACCTATGGAAATACTTAATTGGCAATAATATTGCTAAAATGAAAACTATAAATAATGTATACCTTTTATTATACTTACTCTGGTAAGGGTTGTGTTTTCCTTAATTCATTTACACTCCACAAGTATACTCTGAGGAAACAAATGGCTTTATTTATCCATTCTGTGAAGAAGTTATTGAATAACCAAAAGCCCATCCTAAAACCGATTATATACCACTTTCCTATTCTGTGAAATAATGACAAGTGACTTATTTTCTCATAAGTAGATTGCCTTCATATTGTTGTATCCATGAAAATTATTATTTGTTGTCGTATCAATTGCAGTATTGTGAATAAACACAAAAAGCAGATTTCATATTTAAAATGGCATTTAGGAACAGTTAAGGTGCCACTTAGGATGCCTATGTCTTGTATCAGAGTGCTGGGTTGAGTCCCGGTTCTAGCTCTCAATTTCAGCTTCCTGCTAATGTGAACTCTGGCAGGCAGCAGGTGATGGCCTAAGTACTTGGGTCCCAGCCACCCATATGGAAAGATAGATAGAAAGAAGATAGAAAATCTCTCTGTCTCTCTCGAACTTACAAATAATTTTTAAAATAGAGACAGAACAAAAGGACAAATTCTTTCTCTGTCTTTAAAAAAAAAAAAAAAGAAGATAATCTGCCCAGCATTGTGGCATAGCATTGTGATGCAGCAGGTTTAAGACATTGCTGACATCCTATATGGGTGCCGATTTGAGTCCCTCTGCTTCACTTCCAATCCAGCTCCCTGCTCATGTGCCTGGGAAAGCAACAGAGGATGCCTCAAGTGCTTGGGCCCCAACCACATGTGGAAGACTTGGATGGAATTCCAGGCTCCTGGCTTCAGCCTGGGCCAAGTAAACCATGGATGAAAGATCTTTCTCTTTCTCTTTCTGTCTTTCCCTCTCTTTCTCTCTGTAACTCTTTCAAATAAACAAATCATTTTTAAAAGTAAAATGACATTTAATATAACATTTTTATATTCTTGGTCACAGAGCTATTTAAATACTGTATTATATAATGTTTAACATAATTAAATTATTTTGGCAATTCTTTATAGATCCCTTCTACAGTTAACACATTCGCACTGCATTTACTCATTACGTTGCTGTATTTTGCTATGAATTTCAGGTTACTTATATTCTGCAGAAAGTTAACTGAAATATCTACTGAGGAAGAAAATGTATCACTTTAAATATACCAAATCAAATGGATGTCGATCTAGCTTTGTTCTGTGGATAAGAAAAATGTTTGGCCGGCACCGCAGCTCACTTGGCTAATCCTCTACCTGCGGCACCGGTACCCTGCGTTCTAGTCCCAGTTGAGGTGCCGGGTTCTGTCCCGGTTGCTCCTCTTCTAGTCCAGCTCTCTGCTGTGGCCCGGGAAGGCAGTGAAGGATGGCCCAAGTGCTAGGGCCCTACACCCGCATGGGAGACCAGAAGAAAGCACCTGGCTCCTGGCTTCGGATCCGTAGTGTCAGCCGTATCAGCCATTAAGGGAGTGAACCAATGGAAAGAAGACCTTTCTCTCTGTCTCTCTGTCTCTCTAACTCTGCCTGTAAAAAAAAAAAAAAAAAAAAAAAAAAAAAAAAAAAAAACAACGATGTTTAACTTTAACTTTGAAATGTTTTCTACTTAAAGAATGTGGATGGAGACACTAGCTTGCACAAGTTTCCAATTCCTTCTCTACAGGTTTCTTAAAAAGTGTCCCAGGGGTCAGTGCTGTGACATAGTAGGTAAAGCCGCCAGCCACAGCGCTGGAATCCCATATGGGCGTCGATTCGAGTCCTGATTGATTGCTCCACTTCTGATCCAGCTCTCTGCTATGACCTGGGAAAGCAATAGAAGACAGCCCAAGTCATTGGGCTCCTGCACCCATGTGGAAGATTGGGAAGAAGCTCCTGGCTCCTGGTTTCAGATTGGCACTGCTCCAGCCATTCCAGCCTTTACAGCCAATTGGAGAGTGAACCAGTGGATGGAAGACTTCTCTCTCTGTCTCTCCTCTCTGTTTAACTTTCTCTCTGACTTTGGATGGGCACAGCTCTGGCCATTGCAGCCATCTGGAGAGTGAAGCAGCAGATAAAAGACCTCTCTCTCTCTCTCTTCATCTCCTTCTCTGTGTGTGTGTAACTCTGACTTTCAAATAAATAAATCTTTAAAAAAAAAAAAAAAAAGTGGGCTGGCGCCGCAGCTCACTAGGCTAATCCTCCACATTGCAGCGCCGGCACACTGGGTTCTAGTCCCAGTCGGGGCACCGGATTCTGTCCCAGTTGCCCCTCTTCCAGGCCAGCTCTCTGCTGTGGCCTGGGAGTGCAGTGGAGGATGGCCCAAGTGCTTGGGTCCTGCACCCCATGGGAGACCAGGAGAAGCACCTGGCTCCTGCCTTCGGATGGATCAGCGCGGCGCGCCGGCTGCAGCACGCTGGCCGCGGCGGCCATTGGAGGGTGAACCAATGGCAAAGGAAGACCTTTCTCTCTGTCTCTCTCTCTCTCTCTCTCTCACTGTCCACTCTGCCTGTAAAAACAAACAAACAAACAAAAAATTGTTAAGGGACCTAGACAGACATTTCTCCAAACACATATACAAATGGTGAATAAGTAGATGAAAAAATGTTCATTAGGGAAATGCAAGTCAAATCATAATAAAATGCTGCCTCACACCCATTTGCCTGGTTTTTACAGAAAAAAAAGAACCAGAAAATTACAAGTTTTGGCAACAATGCGGAGAAATTGAAACCCTAATACAAAGTGGGAAAGTAAAATGGTGTAATTATTATGCAAAACAGTTAGTGGCTTCTGTAGAAGTTAAATATAGAATTACCATATGATTCAGTAATTCTACTATTAGGAATATACAAAAAAGATTGACAGCAGAGACTCTAGCAGGTACTCATATACTATGATCATACCAATATTAGTCATAATAGCCAAAAGATGGAAACAGTAATGTAAATGTACATCAATAGATGAATGGTCAAACTAAAATTTTATACACATGGGAATAGTATTTAACCATAAAAATGAATGAAATTTTGATATATGCTGCAACATGAATGAGCTGTGAAATTTTGTGTTAAGTAGAAAAAAAGACAAATATTTTTAAGATTCTAGTTGTGTGCTTTTCTGTATTAGTCATTTTTTTCAACTACAATGCAAGGCACAAGTTACTTAAGGAGGTTTATTTTGGTTCATGGTTTTGGAGGTTCACAGTCCAAGATTGAGCATTCCATTTTGTCTGGCATCTGGTGAGTGTGGTGCATGGCAGGACAACTACAAAGGGTCAAATGGGGAACCAGGAAACAGAGAGACAGCAAACA